AGTGGCGGAGGAAGCAGAGGGAGAGAAGGCAAGGCCTTTCTCCCTGGTACCTGATCCGGTAGCTATGGCGCTGCAGAAGGCTGGCGCTGGGCCGCAGGCTGGGCCGGTGGCTGGCACTGTTCCGACTGCTGCGCTTATTCCTTCTCGCCGCTGTGCTCGCTCTCTCCTCGCTGCTCATGCTAACGCTGCCGCGCTGCTCTAATCCTGCTAACGCTGAAGCGATGCGCTAATCTTGAACACTAACACGTAGACTAACCTCCTGTCTCTACTAACCTACGGACTGAGCCTGGTACGCAGCTGATATAGTGCTGGATCGGCCTCTAGTCCAACTGAGTGCCTTCGGGTCTGGACCGTTGATCAGCCCCAACGGTTCAGATCCGATTGAATCTGAAAAGTGGTGCCTAAAACTGCGCCACCGGCTGGGCCTACCGATGGACCGGTACCTGGCCTAAACAACTAGCCGTTGGGTCTGGTGGGGTCTAAACGAGGCCTACCGGACCCTAAACTGAACCGACGGTTCCTAGCCCTACCTGGACCTAGCTGGGACCGTCGTGACCCGGTACCTAGGCTTAAACCGTGCCTATTACAGAACCGGGCCCTAACTGGGGCCCGTGTGGTATCAGTATGCCACAGAGAGAGAGAGAGAGGAGAGCGGAGGAGATGAGGAGAGAGGAAAGGCGAGGCCTTTTCTCCCTGGTACCTGGCGATGCGGCTATGGCGCGGCAGGGCTGGGCGCTGGGCCACAGGCGGGGCCAGAGGGCCAGCGCTGCTCGTGCTGTTGCGCTAACTCAATTGCTGTGCTGTTCCTCCTCACTGCTGCGCTAATCTCTCTGCTGTTCCGCACTTCCCAGCACTGAAGTGCTGCGCTAATCTGTAGACTAACGAGTAGCCTAACCTCCAGACCAACTGTAGACTAACCTACCTGACTGAGGCTGGTACCCAGCTTATATGGTGCTGGGTCGGCCTCGGTCCTACCGAGTGCCTTCGAGTCTGGACCGTTGATCAGGCCCAACGGTTCAAATCCGATTTCGAAATCTGAAACAGTGGCGCCTAAACTGCGCCGTCGGCCGGTCCTACCGATGGACCCGTTCCTGGCCTAACCAACTAGCCGTTGGGTCTGGTGGGGTCTAAACGAGGCCTACCGGACCCTAAACTGAACCCACGGTTCCTAGGCCTACCTGGACCTAGCTGGGACCATCGTGACCTGGTACCTAGGCCTAAACCGTGCCTACTACCAAACCGGGCCCTAACTGGGGCCCGTGTGGTATCAGTATGCCACAGAAAAAGAATCCCAAACCACCGCTACCTCCTGAAAAGTCAGGGCAGCGCATGCAGAAGAAAAAACTGTGCCCACTAGGTCGTAAATCCCACAGACCAACTGAAAAGAGTGGGCCTCCTCGTGACTGAGGGCACCCTACATGAAGTCACAATTCCTTCTCCCCTCCCTCCCCCGTGCTCCAAAGGCAACCCTAAGGTCATGCCTCATTCCATTCTAGTCCCGCATAGAACGAGTTCGTACAATATAATACGATATCCCATAATAAGTGAGTGGAGAATAATCCCTCCTCACTGGGAACAATGAAAAAAACATCACATACACAGAATGGCAATCATAAAAAACCATAATAACAGCAATTAACGTCATGATTATAATCTTCTACAATTTGGTCAGCAGTCACAATGATCGAAGCGAAATTTTCTCAGGTTTCACACTTTAATTACCCAGATCCTGTCCCACGGCCTTCAATACTTGAGCTCTAGTTCTGAGTTCGAATTCTGCTGTGTACACTTTGGCCTTAGCAGGCGAACCATATGAGGCGGAAGCCTCACGTACGGTTCAGAAGCCAAGCTGTTTCAGCAGTTACAATGATCAGCGTTGTGGAGCAAAGAAATGCTGCGAGAGAGGTTCGGATGCCTGAAGAGATGAGCTAGCAACAAAGAGCTGATTAAGCGCAGAAGAAATCGATAACTCACAGGCAGAAGAGCAAGAAGCACAAGGAGATTGCAGAGAGATGGGAAAAATAACTTAACTATTGCTTATTAAACATATGGTCCTCCTTGCTTTATTTTCTCGGAATGCCTGAAGAGGTGAGCTAGCAACTATGAGCTGACTAGGCAGCAGAAATGGATAAGTCACAGGCAGAGAGCAAGAAGCACAGGGAGATTGCAGATAGATGAAAAAAATAACTATTGCTTATTACGTTATTAACAAATGGAAATCACAGGGAGATCGTAGATAGATAAAAAAAATAACTATCACTTCCCTATACTCTTAAAGACTACAAAGGGCCCAGCGTGACGCCCCGTGCTGGGCCCAGCGAAAATATGTTTGGAGGCCGACGGGCGGAGCGGGACTGACGGTGAGCAGGACTGGCACAACACTATTCTATGTGGAGGGCGGCGCGGTCGCGGAGTGCGTGCCATTTCGGTGCGGAGGCGAGCAGGACTGGGGCAAGGTAAATCGGCGGCGACGGTGTGGCGGCGGGCGGACTGAAACCGACGGGCCCACCGCACAGGCCGAACCAAGACTCGGCTGTGGCCTTTCTTTTTTTTGCCCGTCGCGTGGGACCCAACCACGTTATCGGAGCGTTGCTTTGAGGGGATCAACGGTGGCCGTGTGTGTGTGTGTGTGCGTGTGTGTGTGTGTGTGTGTGTGTGAGAGAGAGAGAGAGAGAGAGAGAGAGAGAGAGAGAGAGAGAGAGAGAGAGA